TTCCTTCTGAGGAGTGGCTGGTGGGTTTGAACTGCCAGCTTTGTGGTTAGCAGTCAAATGCCTTAGGCACTATGCCACCAGAGCTCCCCTACACCACCTAGGTACATGTAAATACAAATATGTGGGTGCAGGGACATGAGTTCATTGAAAACCCAAATATGGATACTCCTCAGACATAACCAAACACCTTCCAAGATTGGTCTTCTGTGTTTGAAGGCTTAAAACCACGGTCTCACGGGACAACTCAGTCAATTCTCATAACACAGTTCACAAAAATCATGATCTGCCTGCTACGGAGTGGCGTCTGGGGTCTTAAAAGCTTGCAAGCAGCCATCTAAGACACAACTCCAGGTCTTTGCTCAGAAGGAGTGAAACAAGAAGGTAACGAAAAGCTCCAACAAGAACCAAGTCTGGACAAGCTGCAACCTCATCTACCCTGAGACCAGAAGAACTAGATGGTGCCCGGCTACCACCTCTGGCCGTGCTGACCGGGTTCGCAGTAGATGGTCCCAGATGGAATAGGAGACCAATATGGGGAACGTAAAAAAAAAGGCCAGACCAACTGTAACAGTAGAGAACAGAGGGGTCCCTGAGACCATCACCCTGAGACACTCTATCTATATGACATCCCAGAAAAGGCAAACCCACTGTGGCAGAAAGCTCCCAGAAGCCCGGGGGCAGGATGACAGACTAACAGCAAAGGGGTGTGGGGAACTTCTGGGGTGACGGCAGCGTCCGCACCATGGTTGTGGCTGCTGTGGGGCAATGGCATCAAACACACTTGTCAAAAGTCATCAAATTAAGCACTACAATCAGCGGATTTTATTCCATGCTAGAGAGGTCACTGGGTGGCAAAAATGGCTTGCCCTCAACTACTAAAGTAAAGGTCAGTGGTTCAAACCCGCCCAGTGATGCTGCAGAAAAAAAGGCCTGGCAACGTGGTTATATCAAGATAGCAGCCAAGAGAGATGGAGCAGCTTTGCTCTGTAACACATGATAGTGGGCACCAGGGCTTGGAATGGACTCCATGGCAACGGTATAAAACCAAAACTAAACTCACTGCCCTGGAGTCGATTCTGACCCACAGAGCCCCTAGAGGACAGAATGTAACTGCACCACAGGGTCTCCAAGGCTGTCAATCTTCACGGAAGCAAAGCCCAAACCACACCCACTGCCATGGAGTCCATTCCAACCCACAGCGCCCCTAGAGGACAGAGTGGAACTGCCCAAAGGGTCTCCAAGGCTGTCAATCTTCATAGAACCAAAGCCCAAACCACACCCACTGCCTGGAGTCCATTCTGACCCACAGCGCCCCTAGAGGACAGAGTGGAACTGCCCCACAGGGTCTCCAAGGCTGTCAGTCTTTACTGAAGCCTACTGCCTCATTTTTCTCCTGCAGAGTGCTGGTGGGTTGGGACCTCAGCTGAATGCTTTAACCACTGTGCCACCAGAGCTCCAGTAATGGGTCACCCAAACCAAAACCAAACGCACTGCTGTCAACTCTATTCCCACTCACAGCACCCGCCTTGGGTTTCCGAGGTGGTAAATCTTTACAGAAGCAGATTGCCCCATCTTCCTTCTGCAGAGTGGCTGGTGGGTTTGAACTGCCAACCTACTGGTTAGCAGTCAAATGCCTTAGGCATATGTAGGGTTTATCATAGTTCAGTACAGCTGACTGTTTTTAAGGTTGGAGGGACTCTTACACACATAAGGTTAGATTAACAACGCAACCCACAGAGCCCGTGTTTTATACGAGGGCTGTAAACAGTCCAAACAGGACTGCTTATTGTTCAGACATGGTATGCGTCATAAAAGCCTTAAGGCGCCTGGATCTTGGAATCTTGCCCTGCCCAACAGGGCTGCCTCTGTGGGCACGGCTGGGAGGGGAGTGGGGCAGTGGGAGAGCCTCTGCCGTGTTTCTGTTGTTTTAAAAAAGATAACTTTCAAACGGGGTGACTCGTTAGCCTTTGTGAATTCCTGGTGCCGAAGTGTGTGTTTCTCCTGCTCTGTTTTCCTGCCCTGCTTGTTCCAAAAGGACGTCCCAGCCCTCTGAGGAAGAGGGATGAGGAGGGGGGCAGAATGTCCCTGGGGGGGCCTGGCGGAGGACAAGGCCGGACAAGGAGGGCTCACCCGCCTCCCAGTCCATCTGCAAACAAGCCAGCTTTGGGGAAGCTCCTCCCTGTGTGGGACGACTCTGCCCTGGGCAGGCAACCCCCCCAACACCCCCCACACACACCCCACACACACTCACACACACACACACACACACACACACGAATAGCTTCCACGCTTTCCCACCTGCCTGCGGGAGCCCTGGGGTGCCAGGTCTCAGCTCAGGTGACTCCAGCCCAGGGAGGCCTCCTGGATTCACGACGCCTTGGGCCATCCACGCTGAAGCAGCAGGGGCCTGCAGCACGCAGCCTTCTCACACCAGTACCGGATGGGGAGGCAGGCCAGTTGGGACAGAGCGTCTGCTGGGGGGTACCCACGGGCAAGGCATTCCACCCGCGGGAGCTGCTTTCCCCATCTGTGAACTGGGAGGATGGCCAGAGCGTGACCTCACAGGGCTGCTGCCAGGATGCATCCGGTGTCGCAAGGGCAGGGAGTCACTTATTGTAACCACACCAAGGGCACTAGCGAGGACGCGGGCCGGCCCTTCACACCTCGTTTCACGCGATCCTCAGCTCCATACACTGGGAACTCTCATCACCCCATTTTACAGGCGGCAGAACGGAGGCTGCCCAGGCGAGCCGGCCAGGCCCCGGTACTGACGCCGTGTGACCGCAGTGCCCACGGCCGAGCTCCTTTGCTCGACCGTGTTATTGGGTCATTTCTCATTTATGGGTCTACACCGCCTCCGACAACGGACTGTGAACCTCCTCCAGCCCCAGCCCTGCAGGAAAAAGCTCAGGCACCCGTGTTAGACGTGGAGGCCGCCCGGGGGAGGCCCAGCGCCACTCAGCTCCCGTCCTCCACTTCCCGGTGTGTGGGAGAAACGGGTCGGCTGGGCCATGCAGCGTCAGCGTTGGTCTTGAGTCCCCCTTCTTCGGGAACCGGTAGCTGAATAAGGAAGACGGAAGAAGATCTGATGCCTTTGAATGATGGTGGTGAAGAACGTCGAACGCACCGTGCATGGCCTGAGGCATGAACAAATCTGTCCTGGAGGAAGTGCGGCCAGAACGGCCCACAGGAGCGATGACAAGACCGCGTCTCACGCGCTTTGGTCACGTTGTCAGAAGTGACCGGTCCCCGGAGAAGGACGTCATGTTTCGTAAAGTGGGGGCTAGGGAAGAAGAGGAAGACCTTCAAGGAGAGACAATGACCCGGCGGCTGCAGCAATGGGCTCAGGTAGAGCCATGACCCTCAGATGAGGCGGCACCGGGCAGGTCCGTGTAGCTGTGGAAGGGCTGGCTGTGCCCGGAACGACTCGAAGCCGCCTGACCACACCGGCCTGCTGTCTTCCTCGCTCGTGCGAAACTGTTCATGACAGATGAGGAGGAAAGCAGAAGTGAGCTTGTGCTTACCTTGCTGACCGGGTCCTCCATCCCCGTCAGGGCCTGTCAGCTTGAAAGGAGGGCCTTGAGAAGGGGCCGTGGGGCCGGGAGGGAGGCCTACGCCAGCCACACCTAGGAGCAGAATCTCTGATATGGCGACAAGTTCTGAAATTCTTCCCTACAGATCAGTAAGTAAGCACAAGTAAGCCAGTGCTTACCTTGCTTCTTGGGTAAGCAACACTGCCTGCACCCATTTCTCCAAAGCAGTGAGAGTAAGCGCCGGTGGCGCAGTGCCTAAGGCCTCTGACTGCTAACAGAGGTTGGTCGTTCAAGCCCACCAGCCAGTCCGTGGAAGGAAAACTGGGCAGTCAACTTCTGTAAAGACTTACCACCTCGGAAACCCAAAGGCGGTCGCTCCGAGTCAGCATCAAGTCGATGCAGTGAGTTTGCTTTTTCAAAGGGGAAAGAGAGCCAGGAAGGAGCTTATGAGTGGAGACAGAGGGACCCAGCAACTAGGCTGTCTCCCTGGGACAGGACAGAGGATGTTTAGGAAGGTTTTGGGTAAATGTTTTATTCACTAAAATTCTAGGAAAGGCAGGTATTTCGGGGAGATGGGACATTCTGGGTTGGGTCATGGTCCTCAGATGCAACATGACCCATTCTGGGATGTCACGCATGCACTGTCCCTCGGAGTGCTGGTTCCGCTCCCGGTCAGACGTTGTCTTACAAAGGCTCTGCACGGACCCTCAGTGACCCCAGTGTCACACTGCACATGCCTGAGGAGCTGGAAGTTAGGTCATCGCAAACATCTGTGGAAAGAACCTCGTGAGACTGTGAAACACGGAGCGGGGGAGGCTGCCAGCTATTTCGCACTCTGTGTTCCAGGCTGTGGGCACAGACGCACCCAGGGGTGGGGGTAGTGAGCTCCGAAGCGTCCTAGTGTCCCTCCAGCTCTACACGTAGGTCCTTCCTGGCCTCACTAAGATCTGGAACAGACAACGTAACAATTCCTTAGTTAGGTTTTGCAGTTACGAGAGACAGTGACTGTTTTCCATTCACTGTGAGTTCCTGTCTCAAGTGCATTCAGGTGTGGCTGTGGGCAGCTCACTTTAACCCCCAGAACCCCACGTCTTCATCTGGACTGAAGGGGTCAGTCTCAGAGTTCATGTTCACGTTCTGCCTGGGTGACACAGGCAAGTGACATGACTCCCCAGGGCCTGTTTCCTGATGTAAAATGAGGAGAACAGTTGCTTGGAGGGTCCTGCAGGCGAAGGAGCCAGGCTTTGGCGCAGAGAGCTTCATGGCAGACTCGCTGCTGCTCTCGGACCAGTGTTGCAAATTCCTTACCCCGCAGGGCAGCTGTGCGGGGAGAGAGCCGAGGGCTCCACGTAGGGTCTGCACACAGTAAGTAGGTGCTCTGCCCACTCAGTGGGCCCGGTCCTTTGGTCATTGCCAAGCACCTGCAGACACGCCTCTGACCAGGGCGTGGGTGACTTTCCTGCGGCCCCGCCTGGCCATTCCGGCCACCAGGGGGCGCCCCGTCCCGCCAGCGGCCCCGCCCGCTCACCTGTGCAGGTTGCGCACCGACCGGGTGCCGCCTCCGGAAGAGGGGACCCGGGACCGTGGGGACCTCGGCGGGACCCGGCGGGCGGCGGCGGGTGAGAGCCCGGGGGGCGCCGAGGGCAGGGGGCCTTCGAGCCTCGGGCAGGATGGGCCGGGCGCAGGCGATGGGGGAGGAGGGACGCCGCGGCCGGTCGGGCGGCCGGAGTCCTGGGCCCGGGAGACCGAGGGCCGCCGCGGGGAAGACAGACCGGCCGGGTTCGGACCCCGGAGGGTCGGGGGGCTGGGGGCCCGGACGCCTGCGGCCGAGCTGCGACCCCGCGGCACCTGGGTCCTGCGGGCAGGTGAGCGCTCCTGCACCTGGCGCGGGGCGGTGGGGAGAACAGGTGTGCGAGCGCGGGTGCAGGGAAGGGGCTGCGGGCTCCCGAGGCGGACGGCTGCTCCCAGGGACGCGCTGGGCGTCGGACCCTCCGGAGCCCCGGAGCCGCCGGGCCGGGGCGCCCAGGAGACTGCGGGCTCCGGGTCCCAGGGGCGGGCCGGGAAGTAAACAGAAACCCCGAGTCTTGCTTGTGGCGCGGCCGGCACAACCTGTTACCTCGCCCTGCCTGGGCCTGACGCCCGAGCCCCGGGAAGCGGGGGACTGGGGCCGCACTGCACAGAGGAGGGCTGGGGGTCAGGACCCCACAGACCCCAGGGGTCGGGGCCGAGGCCTGGGGCCTGCAAAACTTGGGGACTGGAGTGGGAGATCCAAGAAGGGTAGATATTTCCGGTCAGGACCTCTGAGTCGGAAGGCTGGGGGCCAGAACCCGGGGTCTTGCCTTATCCGGGACATGAGGGCCGGGATACCTGGGGTGGGCTGGGGCGGCGTCTGGAGACCCAGACATCTGAGTCTTGGGCTTTGGGAAGGGGAGGGGACTGGAGTCCTCAATTCCCAAAGGGTAGGGTCCTGACTTCCTGGGAGGAGAGGGGCCAATTTCTCTTTTTTTTATTTTATTTTATTTTTATTTTTGTTGTGATTTGGTGAAAGTTTGCAGAGGGAACTCATTTTCCATACAGCAGTCCATACACATCTGTTTGAGGACATTGACAATGTCATGACACGATTGTTTCATGACAATCCCCACAATGTAACAGCTCTCTTCCCACCTCCCTGGGGCCAGTTCCTCTGTGTCCTGAGTCCTGAGGGACTTGGGTAGTGGGAAAATGAGCCTATTGTCAGGGGCTGGGAGCCCAAACCACTGGGTGCTGGAAAGATGGGGGCAGGGAATCCTTGGGGGGGTGACCTGTGGACCCTAAGCAGTGGGACAAGGTTTCCTGAGGCAGGACAAAAGCAGCCTGACTCATTTCCGTCTGCTCCCTGCCTCAGTTTACCCTGGGGACATTAACGGAGAGGTGGCCAAGACACAGATCGTCACCACTTCTGGGCCCAGGAGGCTCTGGCCGTGGGGCTGTGAGGGCCCGGCGACTAGGTGGCCCGGTGGAAACTTGCAGGAGGGCCAGCGAGGGACAAACCCTGTTGGGCTCCAGAGGGGTGTGTCCCGCAGCCACCTGTCCCCACAGATGCTGCAGGCGTCATGAGCTCCCCAGATGGGCCAAGCTTCCCGTCGGGGCTGCTCTCGGGGGGCGCCTCCCCCAGCGGCGACGAGGGTTTCTTCCCCTTCGTGCTGGAGCGGCGAGACTCGTTCCTGGGAGGGGGCCCTGGGCCCGAGGGGCCCGAGGACGTGGCCCTGCAGCTGCAGCGGAAGGAGAAAGACCTGCTGCTGGCCGCCGAGCTCGGCAAGATGCTCCTGGAGCGGAACGAGGAGCTGCAGCGGCAGTTGGAGACGCTGAGCGCCCAGCACTCGGAGCGGGAGGAGGTGAGCGGGCGCCAGGGCCGGGCTGCCGGCCAGGGTGGGCGGCGGTGCGGACAGGAAGGGGCCAGGCCAAAGGCGGCAGAGGCAGGGGGAGGGAAAGACAGGCAGGCAGAGGTGGGGCTGAGACGGGACCAGGCAAAGGGAAGGACTGACAGGCAGGTGGGCAGAGGGATGTCTGTGGACCGGTCCCTGGCTGGGCCCTGTTGCCCTGGCAACCTGGTCCAGTGGTCCAGCACAGAGGCTCTGAAGACAAGTCAAGGCCTGTGTTGAGATCGCTGCTGTGAGGCAAGGGCTGTTCTCCCGCTGGCCCCGGGCTGCTGTCACCATGCTGCCACCCTGGGGGCACATCTGGTCCCCCAAAGATCCCTCACACCACTGACACCCACATCTTCATCATTGGTTCCAGCCACTGCCCTGAGCCCCACAGCCCCGAATGGGGCCTCAACAGAAGCAGCCCGCAATTCCGTGCCTGTCGGCGCCCCTTCTAACCTAGACTCCTAATCCACACCCTTGTCATCTCCCTGCAGCCTCCGTCACCTCCCCAAGACGCTGCGGCCACTGCCCCCTCCCTGGTCACAGGTCCCACTCTTGCCCGCTGGAGGCTGTGCTCCTGGGGTCCTTGCAGCAGCTTCCAACTCTCTTCCTTACACTTTTACTGAAATGGAAGGGCCTTGCAGGGGCTGGAAGTCCCCCCAGAGTCACGCAGCTGTCCCCCACCCACTCACTGCTGCCTGGGCACTTTCAGCTCCCTGACTCATGCAGGCCTATGCCACGGGGCCTTTGCACGTGCTGTCTCTTGGCTCATAAGCGTTTCCTGGTTGGCTCCTGCTTGGCCTGCAGGAATCAATTCAGACAGCACCCTCTGTGGGAAGAAGCGCCCATCCTGCGTGGCTAATCAAAAGGTTAGGGTTCAAACCCACCAGCCATTCTGTAAGAAAAAGATGTGATAGTCCGCTTCTGTAAAGACTGACAGCCTTGGAAACCCTATGGTGCAGTTCTACTCTGTCCTCTAGGGGCGCTATGAATCAGAATCAACTCAGCGGCAGTGCGTTTGATTTTTTTTTTTTTTTTTTTTTTTTTTTTTTTTTTTTTTTTTTTTTTTGTCTGTTCTCCCTTGGCCTCTGGATCAAAGCAGCTTAAGGGCAGTGAACTCTGTGGCCTGCAGCACTGTTGATAACCACGGCCCAGAACAAGGCAGGGCTCAGGAAATGTTTGCTGCGTGGATGGATGGATGGACGGGGCTCAGAGATCTTAAGGGTTCTGCCTGGTCACACATTAGTGGCAGATCCAGGCATGGGCTGGGACATTCGGAGCCCAGTCCTGCCAGCTGAACCCTCGGGCTGTGACGCCCCCACAGTATTTGGTTAAGCGCTTGACTGCCTGCGTTGGAATCCCTGCTGCAGTAACTCTGTGTGTCCCTGGGCAAAGCAGTTAACCTCTCTGGGCCTCAGTTTAGCTCATCGGCAAAACGGGGCTGTGAGGATTCTAGTCTGGAGAGTTAGATGAAGGAATTCCGTAGGGGCTGACACAGGACCTAGCTAACACACAAAGCTGTTAGTATTGGTGGCAGTTATTGTCCTTGTCACCTGGGCCCAGATGCTGCCCCTTTGGAGGGCTGGAGAGAGCGGGGACCCCGGGCCGCGCCCCACCCCCACTCCCGCTGACCTGCTGCCCCATGCCGGGCCTCTGGGCGTGCCAGAGCCTCCCCCCCACCTAGTCAGACAGGTTTAGGGGGGCAGGCGGAAGCGTGGGGCCAGGGCGGGGCTGACCAGGGTTAATTAGGAGCTGGCCGAGCAGCTGGGGGAAAAGGGCCGGGCAGGGTCCCAGACTGCAGAGGCCCGAGTACAGTGGGTGGGAGACCATGGGCCGGGGCCTGAATTCCACCCGCCTCCGGCGCCAGAAACGGCGCCTTCGAGCGCGGGTACAGAAGCCCAGGCTGTCGGAGGTGAGTGGACTGGCTCCCAGCTGAGGTCGGCCGTCCCGCATGGCTGGAACCTTCTCCACTGCTCCCCTCCGCCCCTCCTAAGTCTCGGGCTCCCCATCGCTGCCTCCCCACCCCACTCTCCCCTCTCTCACTGGGGCTCTGTCCCTCTGTCCAACCTTCCTGCGTCGGCGCCGTCTCCTCCCTGACTCTGGCGCTGTCCTGGCCCCCACAGCGGCTGCAGCAGGAGAACCATGAGCTCCGCCGGGGCCTGGCAGCCCGCGGAGCCGAGTGGGAGGCCAGGGCCGTGGAGCTGGAGGGGGACGTGGAGGCCCTGCGGGCCCAGCTTGGAGAGCAGCGCACGGAGCAGCGCGACAGTGGGCGGGAGCGGGCCCAGGCCCTGTGTGAGCTCAGTGAGCAGAACCTTCGGCTCAGCCAGCAGCTGGCCCAGGTGGGTGGGCCGGCCCAGCCCTGGTCCTCGGGTCCCCAGAGCAGGGTGGGTGCCCGAGGCCTGATGGTGAGAGTGGGGCCAGCTGAGGGCTCCACCTGTCCCCCAGGCCTCCCAGACGGAGCAGGCGCTTCAGCGGGAACTAGACGCCCTTCGAGAGCAGTGCCAGGCCCAGACCCTGGCGGGCGCAGAGCTGAGGACAAGGCTAGAGAGTCTGCAGGGGGAGGTGAGTGTCGGCGAGGCGGGGGCCTCTCTGAGCAGAAGGCCGGGCTGTCAGGGGGCCGTGCAGCACCACCGCGCCCCAGCTCCGAGGCCTTTCCCCAGAACAAGATGCTGCAGAGTCGCCGGCAAGACCTGGAGGCCCAGATCCGGGGCCTGCGAGAGGAGGCCGCAAAGGGCCAGGGCCGGCTGCAGGCCGCCCACGAGGAGCTGCTTGTGGTGCGTCGAGAGCGGCGGGAGCACAGCCTGGAGGTGACCACGCGGCGGGGGGCACCCGGCTCAGCTCACGTCTGCTGCCTGCTGTCTGGGAGAGGAGGCAGGGCTGGGGGCCTGGGAGCCCCACTGGCTGACCACCAACCACAGGCACCAGGCAGAGGGCAAGTGGGAGCCACAGAAGGCCTTTGAGCAGGGGAGGGTGGCTTGTGGCTTTGAGTCTCTCCACCTGCCTGTTGTTGTTATTTGCCATCGAGTCGGCCCCGACTCATAGCGACCCCTCCTTGGGTTTCCGATGCAGTATCACTACGCAACTAGGATTGCCCAACCTTCCTTCCGAGGAGTGGCTGGTGGGTTTGAACCGCCAGCCTTCTGGTTAGCAGTCCAGTGCCTTAGGCACTATGCTACCAGAGCTCCTTCCACTGAGGAAGCTCCTAGAGCGGCTCAGAGCTGGGCAGGGGGAGGCCAGGAGTCAGGCTGCAGCTGGTGGCAGGGGGAGGAGGGGCAATGGAGGTGGAGAAAGGGGACTGGGAAGAGGCCTGCTGTTTGAGGTCTCCGGGGCTTGATTCTTATCCAGGCCCCCCTGTTAGGGACGCCCGAGCCTCAGTTTCCCCATCTGTGAGATGAGAAGGTAATGGGACCAGCTTCACAGGATTGTGGTGACGCTAGGCGCCACGCCTCATGAGAAGAAAGGATCTATAAATGCTGGAAGGTGGACGGGGTGGGTGGCGTTTTGCGAGGTGATCTGATGGGGTTGGGGTGGGAAGAAGGTTATGGGAGAGTAGAGCTGGGACGCCCGGCCTCACCCTGCTTTATTGGTAGAAAATTGGCCCGAGGCCGCCGAGTGACTGACGCTGCAGAGGCGGGAGTTGGCCAGGGTCCCAAGCGCGCGGCCGCTGCGAGGCGCTCCGGCGCCCCCTTGTGGGCGGGCCGCGGAGCGCGGGGGCCGGCGCGCCTGGCTGACCGCCCCGGCCTCTGTTTGTCTGTTGGTCCCCTTGTCCGCAGCTGGAACGCGCGCGCTTCGAGGCCGGGGAGGCTCTGAGCGCGCTGCGGAGGCTGCAGCGGCGCGTCTCCGAGCTGGAGGAGGAGTCCCGCTTCCAGGACGCCGACCTGTCGGGCGCCTCCCTGCAGTCCGAGCTTGCCCACAGCCTTGACGGTGACCAGGACCAGGACGCGGACGGACGCAGAGACGCCCCGGTGAGCTCCGTCCCACCACCTGGTCCCACGAAGTTCAGAGGAACCTCATTGACCGGATCCTTTGACCCACAGACGACCCTGTCCGCAGAAGCCCGAGAGGCTTCCAGCCCGCAGCCTTCGCCCCAGGAGGAGAGCTTGGAGCCCCCCAAGAAGCGAGTAACCCTGAGCCCGGCGGAGATGCTGGAGGAGAGGGAGGAGGAAGTCGCCAGGCTGCAGGACGAGGTGCGTGTGGAGGGGGACATGGTGCGGGGTCCTCAGCCCTCCCCGCTCCACTTCCTCCCTCCTATCTCCACCTCCGGGTCTTTGCTCACTAAGCACCGGGCGATCCACTGGGATCACCCTTAATCCCATCAAGCCAGCAGTCATGCTTCTAGGAAAAAAAAAAAAATCACTGCCGTCGAGTGGATTGCGACTCACAGAGACCCCTCCATGGGTGTCCGAGGTGGTATCTCTATCGAAGCAGATTGCCTAATCTTCCTTCCAAGGAGTGGCTTCTAGAGGGAGCCGCTATGCCACTTCCTCCAGGATGACTTCCTGGACTGCGCGCGCGCGCGCGCGCGCCGTTAGCCCTAACGCGACCCCCTGCATTCTTCTCGCAGGCTCTGCTCTCTGCCTCCATCCCCGCAGGAGCCTGGGGAAATCCGAGGACTCTTCTGAGCCTCCAGCACAGGGCCAGGGGGCCGCCGCCCCGGGGGTTCTGGGAGGGACCGGCTGAGAGGCGCAGGGGTCCCTCTGCCTCACTGCGCCTTCGCTCCTGCAGATGGCGCTGCAGCGGGCGGAGCTGCACTCCCTGCGGGAGGAACTGCAGAGGCAGAAGGAGCTGCGGGAGCAGGTGGACCCCGAGCAGGCCTTGAGCGGCGCCCTCTCAGATCGGGACGAGGCCGTGAACAAGTGAGCCTCTGCCACCCCGCCCTGCAGGGCCTCAGACTCCGCCACTCCCACCCAGGGCGCTCTGACCTCCTTGGTCTCGGTGTGCGCGGTCTCCCTCCCGCACCACCCTCGCCCGCTGAGGCCCCAACACCCTCGGACCTGCTCCCCACCTCTCCCGCCCGCAGGGCCCTGGAGCTGTCCTCGGAGCTCAGCCGCGTCACGCTGGAGCGGGATTCCCTGTCCCGGGAGCTGCTGCGCGCCATCCGCCAGAAGGTGGCGCTGACGCAGGAGCTGGAGGCCTGGCAGGTGAGGGGCGTGGCGGGGGCGTGACCCCGCCCCGGGGGCGTGGCCGGCGCACTAACTATCCCTCCAACCCGGCTCCCGCAGGACGACATGCAGGTGGTGATCGGGCAGCAGCTGCTCTCCCAGCGCCAGAAGGAGCTGAGCGCGGCCCGCGCCGCCGCCCCGCGCCGCTCCTCGCCGAGATTCTCGCTCCGCCTGGGCCCTGGGCCCGCCGGCAGCTTCCTCAGCAACTTCTTCCGAAGAACCTGAGGGTGCGCCCTTGCCCTCTTGGGACTGTTTCCTCTTCGGGCCGATGGAGCCACAGAACCCGGACTGTGTTCCGAGGGGGGCTGGTGCCCTCCCCACCGCGAAGGCCGGGCAGGGGCTCATAGGGAGCAGGGGCGAGGGTTGGGGGCCAGGGGCCGGAGGTGGGTGGCGGGGCAGAGCTGTTTTAGATAAATCTATCTTTTCCAAGTTCTGGGCACCCTCCTGGACAGGGCGATGGGGATTTTTGTAACAGGGTCAAAGTAATATATAAACCACGCTAACTCAGCCTCTGTTCTCGGGAAGGAAAACTTTATTTGTAAAAAAGGAAAAATAGAAAAAGAAAAGAAAACCCTTGGGAGGAGGTGTCGCGGGTCAGAAGGACAAGGAGAAGGCGCGGTAGCCCAAGTTGGTGAAGACGTCCACCCTGCAGCTGTTGCCTGCGGCCGTCAGGACCTGGAGACAGGGCTGGCATGAGGCCCCGCCCACCCCCGGCCTCCCGGGACCCCAGCCCCTCGCCTGACCCACCTTGCACTCAGGGGCTGCTGGCTGCTGGTTGAGGCTGAGGCTGAGGAGCCCTGAGGAGGAGCCTGGAACCTGGGCCTTAAGTTCCCCGCTCAGCTGCCACTGGTTGACAAAGGGACCCTGGCCAGCTGACAGGATCTGTGGCGGCAGGAGGGGGTGGGGGTCAGCGCAGGGGAGAGGAGCCAGGCAGGGGTGGCAGACGGTGGCAGAGGGCCTCACCAGGTCCTGGTAGAAGGTGACATGCTTCTGTGGAGCCCGCATGGGGAAAACGGTGGTGGGTGTGGAGGAACGCAGGTGCCAGAGGGTGAGTGCAGGGCCACCTCCGCAGACCTGGCCAGAAAAGGGGGGTTCCCCGGTGGCCGTGAGTCAGGAATCCCTGAAAACCAGGCCCAGGGAGGCCACCACCGCGTCCCGCCCATGCCCGGCTCACCATCCAGTCTGAGTCGGTCGCCAAGCATCCAATCCAGCGCCCGTTTTGGGGCCTGGAGCACTCCTAGAGGGAGGAGAGAGTGGAGGAGAGGCTAGGGGGCGGGGCCGGGGTCCGCGAGAGGCGGGGCCTTGGATGGGCGGAGCTGGGGCCCAAGAGGGGCGGAGCCTGGGTGGGGAGGAACCTGGCTCTGGAGGGGCAGGGGTTAGGGGCAGGGGCAGGGGTTAGGGGCAGGGGCTGGGGCGCGGCCTCACCTCATGCTTGTAGACCTCGATGGTCTGCACCTCCTTCGCAGTGCGGAGGTCTGTGGAGAAAACCCTTCGTGGAACCATCCTGGCCCCAGCCTCCCCACTGCCATCCTTCCCTCCAAATGCGAGCCCCTTACCCCAAAGCCTCACAGCCCCGTCCTCGCCGCCCGACAGCACCTCGGGGCTCCGCTCCCGCAGCGCCAGGCAGTGGATGTAGTCTGTGTGGCCCCGGAGGGCCCGCTGCGGGGGAGAGCGGCTGTGTGTGGACGAGCGCCCCGCCCCCCCCCCCGTGGCCCTCCCCGCCCCCGTGGCCCTCCCGCCCACAGGCCCTCCCACCCATCCACGCCCTGCTCACCGTGAAAGCTCCAGTTTCAAGGTCCATAGTGTGTAGCTGACAGTCCCCTCCCGCCAAGATGAGCGAATTCTCCTGTGGGAGAAGGCAAGGCAGGGCCAGAAATCAAGGATAATCAGGACCGGGCTGGAGGAAGGCCCAGAGTTTGGGCCACGAACAAGACAGGGCAGAGCCCACCATCCCAGGCGCTCAAGGGGCCACGGACCTTGGGGACGAGCAGCAACGCGTTGATTTCCGGCACTTCCAGGCTGGTCCTGGGGGAGGAAGAGCGGGCTCAGCTTTGGTTCAAGGGCACCTTCCCACCCAGGTGCCTCCACCCACCTGGCCCTGGCTCACCTGTACGGCGGCTGCCGACGCCACAGCTCCTTGCTGGCCTTCGTGGGGGAACACACCCAGTGACCTGCTTGGCCCTCCCTGGGCCTGGGCCCCCAGCCCTTCCCCCAGCTCCACACGCCTCACCTTCTTCAGGATCTCTGCCCACAGCCAGGCCTTCACCTCCCCGTCGCCAGCGCTGAGCAGCTGCCGATCGGTGGACACCATGCTATAGACAGGCCCATCATGGGCTGATGGGAAAGGCAGAACCTGAGTGACCCCATCCTGCCCCCTTCCTGGGGTCCCCAAAGCCAGACCCGGCAGCTGCACCCACCTTGAAAGGTCACCACCGGGTTCTTACTTTCCTCTTTAGCCTCAGAGCTCAAAGCAGCAGACAAGCTGAAGGGGACAAGAGAGGGGGCCCAGGAACCGGAAGCAGGGGGCGTCAGTGCCGGAAGGCCAAATGCCAGGGCTAGTGGGTGCAGGGCAGCAGGGACGACAGGTACCTGAAGATGGCAATCTGCCCGTAATTGTTGCCAGCCGCCAGGAACTTCCCGCAGGGGGACACGCTCTGGGAGAAGACTGTCATGTGCAGCCGCTGCAGGGCCTGCACCACCTCCATCTGCGGGGAGACGGGGATGAGGACCCGCTGCCAGCCCGGGCCCGCACCGCCCAGGCTCAGTCCTCTTTCAGGACACCTGCCCACACAGCCCTGGGGGGCGCCAAGAAGAGGGTGCAAAAGGGAGCGACTCAAGTGTGCAGCTTAGGGGGACTCTGAGCAAGCTCCCCAGACTCTGCTGTTTCAACAACTGGAAAGTGGGGTCGCGGAAGTCTTTGTCACAATTACACGCGCTATACGTTAGGGTCTGCCGCTTGGAAAGTCCTTGAAAAGTGGTTCTCTCGTCCCCAACACAGAAAACATGCCGACTTCTGAGTTATTCTTCCGCCCCCTACTCCGGCTACAGTTTGATTCCCACACACAGCCCACACGCAAGAGGGTTCAGGACGCGATTCCTCGCCCACGGGGTTGAACCGGACTTGGAATACAAGCCCCAGAAGGCCGCGCGCTGGCCTTACCTGACCCAGCGGCACCGCGTGCGGCACAGCCGGCTCCATCCCGAGGACTACAAATCCCACAGGGCTTCGCGCGACGCGGCCTCACGAGTCCGGACGTGCCTGCGAGAGTCTCTTCTGCGGCTCCCCAGGGCCCAACACTGCCGGCGATCCGGCGCGAAGGTGGCCGCCACGTACTGCACCGTACCCCACGAACCGAGGTGAGCGCCTCGAAGACCCCGTACACTGCGTGGCGTCCACTGCAGCCCCACTACGCCGGATCCCCTCCCCCACCCCGCCGACCAGACCCGCCTTTCCAGCCGCGCGCAGCCTGTCTTCTGCGCCTGCGCGGAACCTCGCCGCCGCGCGCGCCCAAGGCCACGCCTCCCGTCTTGTATCACGCCCTCGGAGGCTCCGCCCCTGCCATCCGGATCCCACCCCTGTGCCCAGAGGACCCCTTGCCCCAATGATACTGCAGCAGCCCCTAGAGCGAGGCCCCTCGGGTCGGGCCCAGCGCGACTCCCGGGCTGCCTCAGGGCTGCCTCGGAGCTTGGACGCGAGGTGCGTGTGGGGCTCCGAGGTGGGCCTGGCCGGGGGGGGGGGGGGGCTCAGGGCTGTTCTGTAGGCTGCCAGGCAGTAGGTGAGCTGATGGGGGCTTGGGCGTGAGCTGAGACTGGGATGGGGCTGGGGGTTCAGGACTGTCGAGGTAGGTTGCTGGATTGCTCCGGAGAGGGGAGGTGCCTTGGGTATTGGCTAAGACACGGATGGGGGCTCTGGCTGAGGCTGCAGGCTCAGGCCGGTAGATCCTGGGCATGGGGCCAGTAGGGTGGGGTGCACCTGGCTCTTGTCTCTTCCCAGCCCCCCTCTCCGAGCTGTGCCCATGAGCACCAAGCGGCGCCTGGAGGAGGAGCAGTGAGTCTGGGGGCAGGGAGGGACTCCCGAGTAGACCCTCTGAGCCCCATCGGGTTGCCTGCTCTCTCCACATCCCTGCCAGCCTGTGTCCTCTCTCCCCAGGGAGCCCCTGCGCAAGCAGTTCCTGTCCGAGGAGAACATGGCCAGCCACTTCTCTCGGCTCAGCTTGCACAACGACCACCCCTACTGCAGCCCCCCCAGGGCCTCCCCCCCAGCCCTGCCCCCACTCAGGTAGGCACAGCTTCCTGGAGGATCACGCTGGTCCTGAGCCCAGCCTCCAGGCCCTGCCTCATCCTGCTATGTTTAGCTCCCAGCCGTCCCCTGGGCTTTCTCCCATCTTGGCCCCTTGGAGGGTGCCGTCCTGGATCTGGTTTGGGGAGTGGCTCTGCCAGGCCAGCCCCCCCTCCCCTGTCCTGAATATCATTTCCCCTTCTAGGAGCCCTTGCTCTAAGCTGCTGCTTTGGCGCTACCCTGGGAATCTGATCCCCGAGGCTCTCCGGCTGCTGCGGCTGGGAGACACCCCCACCCCCCACGACCCTGTTACCCCAGCTGGAGACACAATGGAGTTGTGAGTGCCGGTGGGCAGTGCCCCACCCACCTGCCTTCACAGGGGAGACCAGCACCCCACAAAGGGACCAGCTGCCCTGCTTTTTCTCCACCAGACCAGGCTTCTGGGTACCAGGACCTTCCCTGACCAAAGACACCAAGGGCAGAGCCTTAGCTGGGAGGGCAGAAGGGGCACCCAGAATCACTGAATAGAGACTGCTCCTAAGTGAAGACTTGGTTTGGAACGTGGGGCCCAAAGGGAGAGCTGGGGCACCGGATGTGGGGCTTCTCCCTCAAGACTTTCCCTGGAAAACGGTCAGGACCCGGCCAGGCCCTGGCAGGCTGGGCTCAGGCATAGAGAATGTGTGAGTCACAACCCCGCCCCCGCCCCCGCGGCTGGTGACTCACTCCCTCCCGCCCTCCCGCCGGGGAAGCCAGGCTGGGACCGTTCACTCTCCAAGCCATTTAAAGTTAAACTCTTTTATTAATAAATTCTTCCTCCCTCTCAAACTTTTTCCCCAAAATAAATATCTCCCCCACTCTGGGGGCTGGTGGAGGCAGTGTCCTGGAGGCGGCCCCCCCTGCCTAGAGGGCCAGCCCCTAGTGTTCAGAGCAGGTCTGTAACCCCACCAGGGCTGAGACCCCAGGGCAGAAGTTCAGTACATCTGAGTGGGTAGGGCCTAGTGTTGTGTCTGGCCACCGGAGGCATGGCGGGGAGACCCCCCCCCCTTGTGCAAATGCTGCAGTTCCTGTGTCAGTGGTCATGTGGGAGCGAATGGACATCCTCTCATGTCCTGGAGGCAGACGGGCAATCAGACACCTTGGAAGGCTCCCCAAAACCTCAGGCCTCGGAGGTGATTGACTCCCACCCGCCTGCCCGCCCTCCCCGTGGTTGGCTGAGCCCGGCACAGGCTGTGTCTGGAAGGCAGGGGCTGGCTCCAGAATGAATGAATGAGGAGGAGCCCAGGCTGGCAGGGGGCGCTCACTGTCATTGGATCAGGGCCACGCCGGGGCAGCCCTCCCCGCCTGTCTCCTCGATGGGGGCTGCAAGATAAGAGGGGTCCTGGTGAGAAGTGGACACAGGCGTGAACCTGAGCGGGCAGGTTGGGGCACACTCACTGGTAAATTTCTCTCTCCTGCGGCATCGTCTCCAGACCAGGAAGCCAGACAGTAATCCTAGCACCAGGGCTAGACTCAGGGTGCCCCCCAGGATGGGCCACAGCAGCCCGAAGGGAGCCGGAGGGGCCGTAGCGCCTGGGGGTGGGGATATGAAGTCAGACCTCCTCCCCCTCCAGACCAGCCTCGCCCCCAAGATCTGGGCCTCAAGCCGCCCCCCCCCTTCTGATCACAGCCCCCCCACACACTCCCGCCTCTTTCGGATTAGTTGTGTCCCTGATGAAATGCCCACTCCCGGCCCAGGGTCTCCCCAGCCGGCCCCCGGCCCCACTCACAGCCCAGGCAGAAGTCGCTGTGCGGCCGCGCCGGGCACGACGCGCAGTCCATGCACTTGTCCAGGTCGGAGCTCCAGGAGGTGCCCCGGGAACAGGGGGCGGCGCCTGGGGAGGGGGCCGCGGGTCAGAGGCTGGGGCGGGGCTCGGCTATTCTGGGGGCTGAGGTCAGGGTCGGCCGGCTCGAATGACGTGAGTCACCGGCGCCCTCCCCCGCATTCCTCGCAGGTGACCGCACGGTCCGACCGGGACAAGGCTGCGGGACGGGGGAAGCGGCGCGAGCCTCTGGGGGGGCCAGGCCCCCCACCATCTACCTCCCCCCGCCGCTGGCGGGTGACTCACTCCCGGGCACCGGGCCCGATCCCAGCCCCTCCCCCCGCATAGCTGGGCACTGAAGTCACCGGACGGAAGGGGGTACCCCACATGGCATAGGGGGCAACGACCCCCAAACTTACCGACATCCCCCATCTCCGGCCACCGGGGGTGGGTAGACCCTATACTGACCAGGCTGGGGGCGTGACCCTTTAGCGGACGAGACAGCCTGCCCACACATTTTCCTCTCGCTTCCGCGAGCCCTGACTTTCAGGAAGGCGCCCCCCAAGGGGACAGGAGGAGAAACTGAGGCCCAGGCTGCGGATGGCGCTCGGAGCCGGATGGATGTCCCCGAGTCAGGAAACGCGATGCCTGGAGACAGCCTGGCCCGGATCCCCACGTCCGCCCGGTCTCCTCGATGCTGCCCAGTTTTCCCAAGCCCCAGACTCGGCACCCCGCTGCCCAGCCCCAGGCCCTCCCGGCCCCACACCTTCCCGCCGGCTCGGCCGCGCGTTACCTGCCGCCCGCTCTCCGATCGCCGCGCGCAGCAGCGCCAGCCCGAACCCCAGCACCAGGAGGCGCAACGGCGGACGCAGCGGGCCCCGAGCCATGGTGCGCGCGATCCGCGGCCGCCGCCGTCTGCTCC